GATTTTCCAGTTTAAAATTCAGATTTTTGAATTTTCCAATGGAAAAAAAAACTGGGAAAAACATCTTAAAAAAAAAACAGAATTCCAGAATTCCCTCTTATTCCAGCGTTTTCTGATGGATTTTTTTGTTTTCCTTCCTCTCTTTTCAGGAAGAAGAAGGAACGACTGATATTTTCCGGGAAATCCCAATGGATTCTGTGGTGAAGGAGAGTTTGCCGAGTAGGTGATCGCCCTGTGGGAATTCCAGGGAGGGAATTTGGGATTTATTCCCTCTCTGCAAGGTCTGAAAATCCAATAAAAGCTGAGCCGATCGGGATTTATAGAAAAATCCCCGAGTTCCAGACGGAATTCTTTGGGTGAATCCCGGGAAGAAGAGTTTTTCCTCTGGGAAGAGGCTTTAATTTAGTGGGAGATGGAGCGGGGTGGGAAAAGCTCCGGTGGGAGTCGTTGGGAAAGGCAAGGAATCGGTGGGATCTCTCCAAAAATCATTGGAATTTTCGCTGATTCGTCTCCATAAAGGCAGAAAAATTCGGGAAGAACCCCCTGCTGCCATTCCAGGAGTTTAAGAAGGGCTGGATTAGCTCCGAGGCCGGGAAAGAGGGAACAGGGACATCCAAGGATCAGACCCAGCCGGGATGGGTTGAGGAAGGGCAGGGCCTGTTGGACCAACCTGAGCTCCTTTTGTGACCCACCTGGGGCATGAGGGGAAGGTGTGGATGTGTCTGGACTTTGGCAAAGCCTTGGGCACCGTCTCCCATGGGATAATCCTGGAAAAGGCTTGGACAGGGGCACTCTGGGCTGGGTTAGGAACTGGCTGAGGGCTGGGCCCAGAGTGGTGGGGATGGAGCTGCATCCAGTTGGGATCCGGTCACCAGTGGTGTCCCCAGGGATCAGTGCTGGGCCCAGTTCTGTTTAATGTCTTTATTGATGATTTAGATGAGGGGATCAAGTGAACCATCAGCAAATCTGCAGATGACACTAAGCTGGGCGGGAGTGTCTATCAGCTGGAAGGCAGGAGGGCTCTGCAGAGGGACCTGGAGAGTTTGGAGAGTTGGGCTGATTCCAACAGGATGAGGTTCAACCAGGCCAAGTGCCAGGTCCTGCACTTTGGCCACAACAACCCCCGGTAGCCCCACGGGCTGGGACAGAGTGGTTGGAGAGCAGCCAGGCAGGAAGGGAGCTGGGAGTTTGGATGGACAAGAAGCTGAACAGGAG